TATCAGTATGTAATAAGTAATGATATTGTGTAAATTAAATATAAAAAATACAATCTCCGCATATTTATTCACTAACTCCAAGTTATCATCTGATTATATATGAAAAATAATCTTAATAATACAGTGCATAATGTGTTAAGCCATCGAATCTACCTAATATACAGGTGGATCTTTCAATTGAAGGTGCTACTGCAGTGATAATGCAAGAAAATTGGGAAACGTTATTTTGTTCTCAACAAAAATAAATATTTTTATTAATAATTTTGCTATTTCAGTATTTACTATATATATAATAAATATTGTATTGAAATGTAGTGCAGATCATTAAATTTTGTGGACATTTTCTATAATGAAAATCATTTATAGGGAGGTCTCTACCCTTAAACGAATTACGTACAAAATTGCTATTTTGAAATTTGGCCGCATGACGCAGCAATAGGAGGTTTTTAAACCGAGCCAACCAACAAAGATTTCACAGATCATCAACATCACAGTTGTACTACCTACAAATGGCATGTTTACCATTATTTGGAGCATGCTTGCAACAAAACCAAAGTGAACATTTATATTACCAAGGATTTCAGGTATCAAAATTTGTAATGTGATTATTAAAATTTCCCATTTGTTTTGTTATCTTTTGTTTTTTCCTTAAATAATTAATATGAAAATCATTTATATCAGATCTACTATGGAACCCAAGAATTATATATAGTACTATCAGTAGTATTTTAAAAAAGGAACAAGGTGAAAAAATTGCTCAAAATAAATGATACTCAGACAATTGAAACTTATCTAAGGAAAGAAAAGATTACCTATGAAATTTACCAAGAAAGAAAAATGATAAACATCAGGAAAAGAAAGCAGAACAAAGATGTGATATTACCTAACAAAAAACAGAAATCCTTAGAAGGAAAATAATATGAAAAATGAAGTCTTATGGTTGAACAATTAATCTATTTTTTCCTTTTAATTCTTTTAGTAACATAAATCATAGCAATTATAAAGCCTAAGATTAAAGTTATACTTGCTATTCATAACCCAATAGATTTACCATCAAACTTTTCTTCATTCTTTGAAGTATTGTTTTTATATTCCTCAGCAGCTTTGGCAAAGTCTTGATATTTTAGATTGCTAACAATGGTTTTTGGGTGATAAAGATTATCTTCCTGAACATGACAATTAGATTTGTAATCAGGCATTACATAGGTTTTCTCTGAACCAAATAGTTTTCTGGTTGAGGCTATTCATGTATGACCATCATCAATAAAAATATCAGAATCAGGATGGTTTTCTTTTATCCATTCTGAAAGGTGGGGCTTATTTTGTCCATCAATTTTACAAAGTCTAATCATTTTTAAGTTACACTGGGGAAAATTTCCAAAAGTCTTCTCTCTTGAATTTCCCATTTGCAGACATTTTGTTTTCTTTAGCATTAGTAGAAGAAATCATCACTAAATCATTATTAATCAAATCGTTTTTTAAAGCCAATAGTAAGTCATTATTAAGGGAAAGTAATGGAGTATTATCTAAACTATCCACCTCTGAGTATTTATCACTGCCTTTTTTTCTTTCTTCTCTCCTTAAATTTTTTAATCTCAAAACCTTTAACAAGTAATTTTTCTTTTTCATTTTCTCCTATATATTCATTCAATCTCTTTACTCTTACTAGCACCACCTCTTCAATTAATTATAGTTACTTTTTCCCAAAAAGTTTTGAAAAATCTTCAAAGGAATATCTAACCAAAGACCATGCTTTTGGCCAAATTTATAAATTGCATGAGGTCAATAAGGAAACAAAAATTCATCCAATCACAAATAATTTTTAAGGATCTACCTTTCTCTTGAGACTTTTGTTTGATTAGAGAGTCAATTTTATTTTGATTCATACCTTTATAATATATTTTTACTGTAAGTTGGCTTTGGACAAGTAATATCTTTGTTAACATTAAAATAGATAAAGCTTTAATTTCTTCAAAAATATCTGCTTTCTTGGTTTTCAATAAATTGAATTCAGTAAAAGGTCCATTAACAGCTTCAAAAAGAAAATGTTGATATTTCTGTATACTTGGTAATTTCTTAAAATAAATTCCCAAAATTGATTTGATATCCAAGTATTGAAAGCCTTTTCCATCTTCATAACATTGAGTTTTATTCAATCCTGCTGGACTAGATCTTTTCACCACCTCAACCACATGGTCCACACAATCCACTTGTTTTTCTATAAAGTTTTTTAATAATACAAAACTACCATCACACTTGAATTTGGTATGTCTGAAATTTAATTCAATACTTTCATAATAACCACAAATTACCAATAAAATTGATTTTTTGATTTTTTCAATTTTGATTATCAATTGTGAAAAATTAATCAACACCTCTAGTCAACATGATATACTTTTATGATTACTTTTAAAACTTCACATACAAAGTTTATTAATACTATAATTACATTACAAGAATTATATACAACTGTTAGAATTTTCAAATTCATCATATTTGAAAAAAATATAATTTTCAATTATGCAAATTGTTAATAAGCTTCTATAATTATTATTAACATTATTATCCTTGAAAAAAAAAATATTTATGAAAATTCTCATGTAACAAATATAAATTTAGGTGACTGGTAACATCTAGTTAATACTAAAATTATTAGTTAATACTGCTTGCTCTTTCAATTGTGACTTGAATCAATCAGTTCCTTATAGTTCTCTACTAGGGCTCCAGACAATCATATTAGAGGTCATAGGGCACTCCATTAGTAAGAATGACCATTTTTACCCTGATAATTTTACCCTGAAATTTTCATATCACATCCAAAAATATGTAATTTTACCTATGAAATTCCCTATGACATTTTATTTGTTTTATTTAAACATTTAGACAATGCAGAATAGACAATAAAATCTTTTCATCTGTTAGAATTTTATAAATTTTAAATGCATTTGAGTGTAAAGTAATCATATTTGTATTATTCATACTATTCACACTAATTGAAACTTGAACTACCAAGATAATAGATGATTTGTTTTCATGACAAATGTGAGAACAATTCATGTTCATCTTTGCTTGTTAAATAAATAATATTATTTTGAAGATTAATATATACTTTACAGAAAACATTTGAAATAATATCAACATTAGTTATTGGTTCTTTTGTGTAAGAATGATAATTTCCTGTAGTTGAGTGATAATATAATGCTAGAAATTGAACAAGATGGATTTTAGAATTAATTAGTGCAAAGGCAAATCAATTGATGAGATATTTGCAATGGTGATAGCTGGTATAGAAGGTGATTCTGCATTAAATTTAAAATTAGTAACATGTTTTTGAGAAAATTTTATGAGATTAAATATTCTTACCAGAACTATTTAAATTTAGTTGGTTCAATCCAGTATCTTGAGTTATTTGATTTATATTGTCTAATATCTTTCACATTCCCCATCTTATTAAATGTGATTTTGGTTGATTGTCATTACTATTAAGATTGCTAACTGCTTGTGACACTAAACTACTTATTGTAGATGGATTTGTATTTGTATTTGAATTTTGGTTGGTTAATTGGATATTTGCTTTGATTTGAAACATATTTTTAGAAGTGTATGCTTTGTTTTGAGTACAATATTCTATTAAAGCTGAAAAATTAAGTGCATGAAACTAAATTTCATTTAAAATCAACAAATTAGTCAATTAGTTTTAAATATTTTGAGAACTACTTTTACTTGCACTAAATAACCAGTCACAACTAGCACCATGAATTTTATATTTTTTAGAAGTAGAGGGTGTGAAATGTATAGATGATGATAATTCTTTTCTAAATTTTGATGTTCTTGATTGAGCTTCACCACTGATAAAAAATAGTATATGATTTATTATTAATGGTCATAAAGATTTTATGATTTTCAGATAAAGAAGTTACTTACTAATGTGAATCCATATAACTTGATATACATTTGTATACATGTACATTGAAAAAAAAGTCTAAATCACATTCTGAATTCTGTCTGTTAGGTATGCCTTTATCTATCATTTCAACACTAATCACAAATTTTTATTAGAAAATAAATTTAATATTTATCAATAACATTCATAATTTTATGAACAGTTTTTATGTGTATCTCAATAAGTTCAAAATATATTGAATGTCACTATCTTCACAATCCATAGAAACTAGATTAAAACTTTGAGATTTTTCTGCAATTGTTGGCTGATCATGTTTACAATTTGATTCCAATGAATAATTTGAAATACAGTCAAACCTTGTCATAACGGATTTCGATCTAGTACAAATTTAGAAAGTATCTGCAGAAATATTGTATTTGATTGGATCTTTCTGCAGATACCTTCTAAATTTGTACTAGATCGAAATCCGTTATGACAAGGTTTGACTAGTGTTTCTAAAACCATTTATAGCAACAGATCGTCCAATATTTGCTAGATCTAGTGATTAATCTGAAAAAATACATGTTTAAAGAAACTATCAAGATAATTTGAATCACTTATTATAGTATTCTCACCATCAAAAATGTTTCCAATAGTCCATTTGGCTGTTCATTAATATTTAACCACTATTCACCTACAAGGATTGAATTGGTTACAAATTTCTCTAATTCTGAAAATTCCTTATTTTTAAATATTTTTTTTGGATCAAATTTTGTTTCTTTTCTCCTTCAACTGGTAGTGACAAATTCACAATTTTTCTCCATAAAGAGCTGTATTTGAACAATGTATTAGTAATGAAATAAATTACCTTATAAATATTGCACAAAATAAAAGTTGACACATTACCTCTCTTCAAATATATCTTTTGATTTTTTATTATTTTCTTCAAGTGAATGACTATTTTTTGATCTTTTATCATTTTCTTTAAGAATTGACAACAAGTGGCGATAGCCACCACCATTTGTATGATAAACCACTTATCCATTGTCATTGGCTATTTTAGTGGTTTCTTTTATTTTTTGACAGAGTTCAAAGCAACAAAACACAGTTCTCCTAAAGAAGACATGTTAATAACTAACTAACCAGAGATACTATTTTTTATTTGCATTGATATAATGTGGTGTCCTTTAGTTTTAAATAATTTTAATTGGAATCAAAACGCAGAGCAGAACTTCCTGGGTAATTATAAGATCCTTATCAAGGCAACAAATGAACGATTGGTATTTTGCTTTGTGTAATCATTAATAGTAATATTAATATTACTATATAATTATAAAATGTCAAGGCAGCATGACTGAAATAATTCAAATTTTTACAGACATTGAAGTGCACACATCACCTTGAACACTTTACAGTCATTCACACACCATCCTTGTGTACACAAGCATAATGGACATCCTTATAATTGGTAATGATTTTCGTTGATCATATTTTGATTTTATCACGCAAAAAAACAAATT